TGACAAAGGCCCATGATGAGTAGGCGCCAGGTAGTATGACCCTTTGTTTTCTATCAGTAAGGTTACTATTAAACCAAGATAACAAAGATCCAGATATACCTGCGTGCTTTAGTTTCGAAAGAAGGCCTTTATGCCAAACCTTGTCAAACGCTTTATTGATATCAAAGAAAACCACACGACACGAACTTCAAGGCCATTGTCAAGTGATCTACAAAGGGTATCATAAATGAAGGCCAGCTGATTTGCTATAGAATAACCAGGGATAAAACCAGACTAAGCAGTAGACAGAAAATTATTTACTTTAAGAAAGTTAAAGATGTGTTAAACTACAAGTCGCTCAAATACTTTTTCTGTAGTGTTCAAAAGTGATATGTAGTTATTTGGGAGAGATGAATCGCCTTTTTTGTGAACTGCAGTGACATTTGCCTCTTTCCATGTGATTGGAACTTCACAACATCGTAGAGAAGCATTGAATAAGTCACACAAGGGGAAAGATAGTTCATGAGAAGTCTCGCGTAAAATTCTATTACTTAAACCATCTGGAACTACTGCTTTGTCAACTTGTAACGAAAGAAGAACATCTTTTACTTCACGAAAGCTAAGCACAATATCGCTGAGACAGGAATGTGGTGAACTAAGGTAAGGTGGATCTCTGTTCTCATCGTTAATAGACATTTGTTCTACGAAGAAGTTATTCAGAAGATTTGCCTTATCGTTATTTGAGTAAACAATATTTCTGTTTAAGGGATCTGTCAGTGGTGGAATGCTACTATTATTCGTTGATGAAATAAAAGATTTTAGATTTTTCCACCAGTCTTTAGACGAAAGTTATTCATTTTTCAGTTTATTTGAGAGTTTACAAAAATAGTTTGACTTGGCTTCCCGTATCAATAATATTGTTTCATTACGAATGGATTTGAATCTTTGCCAGTAATATTGTGAATTTGTCATTCTAGCTTTTTTATACAGACATTTTCGTTTACGGATATTAACTCTGATTGAATTTGTCATCCATGGAACACCTAATGGTCTTACTTTAATCAATTTATTAGGGATGTTATTTTTAGCAATTGTTTGTATCTGATTGATTACGTTATTCGCATATATGTTAACATCTGCATCAAAGCAGTTTTCCCATGTAAAGGTATCTATATCTTCACGTAATGCTTCGTAGTCAGCATGTTCATATTCCCAAACAATGCGGTCAAAACACATTTGTCGCGGTTTACGGAATTTCAGAAAACCAAATATAGGAACGTGGTACCTTAGTTCTTGTTCTAGAAAGTGATCACCAACACCAGAGTGAATAACATTGTTTTTGTTTGTAACTAATATAAGGTCGATCAAAGAATTTGAATGTTCAGTGTAATGTGTTGGTTCATCAATTAGTTGTTCTAGATTTAATTGTTGAGTGATGGATGTAATTTTGCGGTTTGATGAATAACAGTTTACATTTAGATTGAAATCACCCGTAATGATAATGTCAGGTATATTAGTGTCAATGGCTAGACCAATCGAATCTTCAATTAGATTGTTGTATATGACATCTGAGTTAGGCGGGCGATAGAAGATACTAAATAGAATATGACGATTGTTACAAAGAATCAACTCGATCCAAATACATTCTAACCTGTTTAATTCTATATCTGTTCTACGTTTGTAGTGTATATTGTCTTTAATGTACAAAATAACACCACCGTGAGAATCCCCAATGCGATCTTTGCGTTCAGGGGAATGATACGAGGAAAGTAATAAGTCTTCTGTTGATACAGAACTTTTGAGCCAAGTTTCGGAGAAAGCAAGAATATCAAAATCGCAGAGTTCTGAAAAAAGGATATCGAGTTTATGTTCAATACTCTGAACATTTAAATGTACGAAAGAAAGATGATTTTGAATATGATTAATTTCCGATGGAGTAGAGGTCATTGATGAAATTGAAGAAGTAGCTGAGATTGGACCAGGATTCGGATGAATGTCTCCAGATACATGCAAGAGTACTGCTAGCCAGGAATAGTACACCAATACAAATAGCAAAGTTAAAGTATTACTGGTAAATTGTATGTTATTATAAACTCTAGTGGTGAATGTCATTACCTTTTTTGAAGAGAATCTGACGATAAACAGTTTATTTGAGGATAGCCAATAATGCATTGAGAACACAAACAATGGGATACTACAGATAAATACCAAAAGCAAAATATGAAAAGTGATTGGAAAATATAGTGACCTATATTTTTTGTATGATTTAATGAAGGCTTCGCAAGTGTTTCGTTTCATATAAGACTTATGAGATAGCTATTATAGCGAGTAAAAACTTTTGCAAAGCCAACATTGACAACTTGTATGTACAAGGGACAGAAAAGAATACGTATGCAGAGTGATAGACAACTAAAATGAAATGTGGATATGAGACTGATAAAAAACAAAAGAACAAAAGAAAAAGAAAGTACTAGTATCATAAGTAAGTAATTAGTAGGAGGGATTTTAAGGGACATTTAAGAAGTATATAGGAAGTTATTTGTTGTTTTAAACGAAAGTCCGATAGGACAAGTCTGTAAAAAATTGAGCTGAATAGATTTAGGTAAGTATGAATGTATTTTTGATTTTGATCTAAAACGAGGATTGGATGAGGTAAGTTTGATGAGATAAGTGTGTAAGTTTATAAGGATGGTCTATTCTAGGTAAGTATAAAATTTTGTTGAAGCTGATTCAGAATAAGGTTCGTTGAAGTATGTATACACGACAAAAATGATAATTGACTATTATATAATAATAGTAAAATTAACTCAGTAGTAGTGATCCATTTTATTTGCCCCGTGTATTGCATAATTCTGTCTCTTTTCTGCACCTTAAATATCTAACTTTTCGAAAAACATAACATTTAACGGGAACAATCGCGTTACATGTACCTGCTCGGAAAAATTTGTTCGCGGTAGAACTGAAAATATTCAATTTTGTCGAATTTGCACGGACACACGTTTTTAAATGTACATAACTGTGTCAAAAATCATGGTTGACCTCGAATAAGTGGCACCCTGTTTTACGCCATATGATTCAATGATCGGGCCTCATCCAAATTTGACACATAGATAATGGAATCTATACGGCAGGCATAGGTGACACCTTCGCGATTACATGTATTACGCTATAGTCGTTGAATTTATTAGTTTTCTTTAAAGGGTATATATATCTCAGTCTCAACACTTGATCATGTCTATTTTAACTTCTAAAGCTTTTATATATAAAAAAAATCATAGACTACGCTCCTGCCAATATGCCAAAATAATATCGCCTTGCGCTCAACATCGAACCTTTCGTAAAATACTGTTACCCGAGGCGAACAGTATTTTCCTCGTGATGATATTTTACTGTTACCCACAAACCCATCTGTTATTTATATATTTTATTACCCCTCACTTTTGTCGTAATGTTAATTTCCCATAGGCCTCTGTGAGTTATTCTTACTGTTAATGCAAGTATACCACGAAAGCAAGAAATTTATACTGTTACAGGGGTAACAGTACTTTTTAACAGTATAAAATCTGGTCACGTGGTCTATTTTCTAAATGAAATAAAATAAAATGGCCGCCGTTTTTCTCTCGATTCATTGTTATTTTCGAAGTTTACCACAATAGGGCATCACTAGAGTTACTATGACCACCCATAAAATTTAGTTGCTTGTACCCTGGAGTACTTTACGCGTATAAAATATCACTTTGTTGAATAGTCCAAAAGAAACATCCGTTTTCACAAGAAGTAATTGCAATGTGAATTATGAGTCAAACTGAAACATTCAGACGAATAAAGAATTATTTAACAATTTTAATCAGTGAAACATTACAGATATGCTGGAAAGACATAGGATATCATTGTTAATTAGAAAACACATAGGTCAAAAACCATGCGAAGAATATTCTGGATACAGAGGGATCAGATTTCTCAGATCATAACCGTATAAATAGGTTTGTGTTTTGTTTTCTAAATAAAACACAGCGTATTTTATGTTTATGATTTGTAGATATCATCGCTTGCTTAAAGAACAAAAGAAAAAGAAAACTTCTCTAGTAGGCCTAAAGTACACTGAAAACTTAAAAGGTAAGGACAGTTTAGTAATTGTTACTCTTGGTTTATTTTTGTTACAGTTAGATTTAGTTGACAATTTTAGATCATCGCAGTATTTTTGTTCGGGGTAATAAAATAAATAACACATGTGTTTGTCAGTAACAGTAAAAATATCATCCATCGTAAAAACACTGTTACACTCGGCTACGCCACGGGTAACAGTATTTTTCTCGGGATGATATTTTTTTAGTTACCCACAAACCAATGTGTTATTTATATACTATTACATTTTATTATCTGGTATATAAATATCTGAATTTCAGATCATTTATCTTACACTTGCCAGCAACATCCATGCACACGAATGATTCTTTCGCGGTTTGTTGTTATGTCTAATACTAAATACTATTTGCGTAATAAAAGAAATTCTGTATTACAGATCATTCATTATAGACCAATGGACTTACATAAGATAATGCATGCATAAGGTTAACATAGAAGACAAATATTGTTACTGCTTTCAAGATGTAATTTGATGTTTGTATTATGTATGTTGCAGATGAACTCAATTTGAATTGACGTATGAATTATATAAATCAAAAACTTTTTTCCTAAATATTCATCATTCGCCTTTTTACAATGTCGAATCATTTGATACTTTGAATCCGATGTTAATACATAAAAGACGTACATGTTCAAACATTAAAACACATTTTTTTTTGATAATTCATGAATTTTGGTAGTTTTGTTACCAGTGTTTCCATCTTTGCAAACGTGTCCTTACATATGATAAGATTTTACAAATGTGATGCTTCAATTTAACAACCAAGTTTTATATTTTTACAGCTATAACATCATTGCTTTCTATGAAAATTATCAGTTTACTTCATCTGAATACAAAACAATTATTTTATTAATTAAAATAGAAATTTACTTACTGTTTACTAGTGTTAACATAGATAATACTTGAAATAACGCCGAACACATAATTTTTTTTTCTTTCTAAGTTTATTCCTATTGTTCTACATTCATCCCCAAGACTGGAAACATCGACATTGCATTATTACATTTCAAATTATCCACCATGTTTGCTGTCAAATTTATTGCGTAACATTGATCAACCACGAGTGTGTTCGGACTATGTAAATAGTTATAAGATTAACCACAAACAACGAAAGTGAAATAAGAGGCAATCAGCATAATTTATAGAATTTCTAGCAATGTCTTTATTGATTTAGCCTTTAAAATTGAAAACATAAATTTCTGTAATACTGTCACCAAGGAAGATTAAGTCGTATTTTGATAGTAAAAAACAGTTGCGGGTACTCGAACAAAATTTCAAACAGAAATTTATTTTTTGTGAAAGTTTTAAGGATAGTCTATGATTACTCATAGATGACAATATTCTATAAAAGTTTATCGCTCTTTAACTATATGCATTATTTGATAAAATAGTATTTTTCTATACATAAAACAGATTTGAGGGCATATTCGATGTCTGAGATAAACGATTATTTGAGTATCGCTATGTAAACTAATGTAATTCGTCCTCTCGCCTTTACAATGATTTATTGCTTGACCACTGACCTGTAAGCTTGATGTTATTCAAAATACATGAGAATTATTACAGTTTTAGTTGTTTAATTTTGAAAGAAGAAATAATTATCTCAAAAACCATCTGTTCATAATTATTATATAATGCAAATATGAACCATTGTTTTCTTCTAACGTTCTTTTTATATTATCTCTCATCAACTTCAAAAATTTATACTATAAATGTAATGTGAAAATCTTATGTCTCCTTTTATTTAATGTTCAATGATTTACATGGTTATGTATGATTGTATGATTTCGATTTATCAATAAATGGCGTTCCACATTTGTGGACCTGAAGCTGAAAAAAAAAGAAGAAGAAAGGTACAACAAATGTGATAGTGCGCAATGGAAAAATAAATTTGACAACTGTGATTCTATGACATAAGTTTCCAGAGGTACGAGGAATGTGTTTGATTGCTGTGACGAGTGCGATCGCACATGTCAGAAATGCGACAAATGTGATCCATGCAGATGGCTCTCCGCTGGCTAATGTAAAGAGCACGCATTTCACACAAGATATACATTTACCGGTATATGATTTTTGCGAGTATAATGTTTATCAAATAAATAGTATTCCATAATTGATATATAAAACACAAAAAAGAGGAAGTCCTTGCCTGTTGTTTTATTTATATTCGGAAAAAAATGCATAATATTTACAATTTCCATAAACATTTTCTAACTTCTTATAATAAAAAAAAATATATTTTCAGGAAATCTTTATATGATGATTCATTTACGATTTAAACCTTTTTGAAATTCGTCAAGTAAATCTTACCATTCGATTTACCTAAAACAAACGAATACACCAATAGTAATCCTTAGATTTGATATTAGATAAATCTATTGTAGATAAACTTTAAAAAAAACTCTTGAGGCACTTACTAAAAGCGGACCATAGACTGTTTGTTGGAAATATCGAATACTCCATAATGATTAATAGTTCTGACAAAGTTTGAATTAAATAAGCAAAAGATTTAAGTTTGCAAAATTTACAGCTGCTATCCGGGCGGGCTATTTTGATATATTTCCAAATCATCTTATTTTAGCCATGAAATCATTGAACCTGGTGATCATGCTTAACTAAATAATGTTTGTAAAAAAAGATTAACCGTTCAGTTACTGGAATGCAATACCTCTGTGAACATGGGTGAGACACAAAGAGGGCCACTCTCTATATATATTTCATTTGTGATTGCATTTACAACTATTCAAGGTAAGTGATGTAACTAAGTCTTAACTTATTTTATCTTGTGTGACGGTTCATCCAACAAAACAAAGCACCGTTTGCTGAAGATACCTGCTGACATTTTATCATAAAGCAAACGGTGTGAAAATCTTTAATTTTACATTTCGATAACGAATATGTTGTTAATGCCTTAATGGCTATATATTAACAATGTTTTAATGACGACATGATTTCAATTCAACGAGTCGATAAGTTGACTCCGAGCACATAGGGAAGTTTGATATTTGAGACTTTTTCATTTTCTTAGAATTTTTTTCTTACAGCCATAACAGTTGCAATACAACATGTTAAAATCGGAACACAAAAGTTTTTGCATTTAGAATAACTCAATGATTACAATTTACTAACTCGGAAAAACAAAGATTAAAAGTAGTGTTTGACATAAATGTACATAAACAAAGCTAGAGTACCTTTTAGTAAATTTTGTGATTAAAAATAATCAGAATTTGATATAGAATACTGCTTAAATATTCTCGTATGTCAAACTAGGTTTTGTCATTTACACGTTTGGTGTGTGAAAGGTAATGCTCAGCAAGTACACTTTTCTTATCCATATCAGTACCCTTAATGTACGTTTTCACTATCATCTTTGCATTTACACTATGTAAGTCAACTTTATCACAAAATGATTTAGTTATCTTAAGTTATTTAATTGTGTTGCTTTTATAATATGCTCTTTAAATACAACTGATTAAAGTAATGCATTCTCGAAAATCAATTAATTAATTACTTATAAATGAAATATTGAGAAACATTGATAAAATAGTATGCGTATTTTCACTGTAAAAATATTTTCACTGCAGTGAAACATATTTTCCGTATTTTCACTGGTGTTTTGCCGGACTACTTTCTTCTAAATTCAACCAAAACACAAATTTTAGGGGAAATCTTTCAAATTGAAATGTCTAAAAAATGTATATAATTAACAGAAAATTCTTTCTTTTTTTCTAAAAATACAGGATTTATTTTCATCTAGTTGTATGAAAATGATCATATTTCGCTCGTGGCTACCGCCACTCATGAAATCTTTATTTTCATACTATTCAATGAAAATAAATCCTGTACTTATAGAAAAAACTTGAATATCCTCTATTTATTTCGTTCATTGCACATGCTGTGATAGAAGAAATGAAATATAAAAGCAAATGCAAAACTTCTTTCATATCAAACGTTCAAAATAGTACACAAATTATTCACAAAAATGCACGAGATAAAAATACTGTTGAATGGCCTAATAAGCGTATATTACGGCACCATCCGATGTCTGGGTATTTGGCAATTTAGATATATTAGAAAGTGTCAAGTTAATTTTTCATCTCAAAAAGAGTATCCCTAAAATTATTGCTTTTTGGAACATTTTACATCATTCGAAAACTAGATAGTTATTTAAATTTCAATAGATCTATGTTTATTAATCAAAACCAAGTCAAACAAGTCAAGCCATAAGTTTATTTACATTTCGTTTAGGTAAGATTTCTTGACAGTGACATGAGCATGTCAATCAATAACAACAAAACACTTCAACATTTTTTATTTGGCTATACAATAAATAAAAAATAAACATCAGAAAATAAAGCAAGTAGAATAAATAATGAAGAAAAAACAACAATAATGATAAAATAAGTTCAAGAACAATTTACCTTAAAAATAATTAGGTGATGTAAATACTAAAAAGAAAACGCATTTTGCAGATACATTTGTTTACTTATTAAACATATGTAGTATATGATAAGTAGTACACCATTAATCAGATTTAGAGTACTGTCTTGGTAATATTGACTTGAGACATTTGAATATTCAATGTTTTTTGGATAGTTATTGTCGGATTTCAAAGTAAATCGTACGGATTTTATAATTTGACATAACGGTTTACATGCTTTATGTATCGACACAACACTGCTAACTACCCTCGGCGATAAGCAGTTAAGACTTAGTTTCAAACTGTAGTTTGTTGGTTTGAATCTTCATGAAACTTTATCATTATCATTGTTATTTGCGAATTTGACAACTAAGTTTTTGTTCATGCCAATAACCCATTGTACGACTGTACAAACTGAAACTTTGAAAGTTTACATATACATCATTTATATATCAAAGTTAAGATTTTTAATGAAAAGACACAAGGAATGAAAAAACGATTCATCCTCTAATGTTGCATATTATTATAACAAAAATTAAAGAAATCTGCAAAAAAAGTTTGTTGAGGATTTGAAGTTGCAACTTCGGGATTGCTATGCTATTAAACATGTTATCCACTAGACCATCGAGACTTTAGCATAAAATAAAGTAATGAGACCTTTTCTATCATTAAGAATCAAGCGGTCATTCGCAATGAATTACGGAAACTAGCGACAATGCTTCCGAAAATTAATGAGTCTCAGGTCAATTTTGCCCAACAATTAATCTTCAGATGTATATATTCTTTTTCTTATTTATTAAAGATGTGAATTAACTTCAAGCAATTTAAATTAGAAGATAATTCGATATGAACAGCAAAGAAAAACTTCAAATTTATTGAAAACAAAGACTCACAAATAAAAAAAAGATTAAACAAGCCTATATTAACAATAAAATGTTAACACTTACTTTTTTGTCATGACAAACACACTGCAACACTTAATTGCGGTGCATCCAGTCATCTAAAAATCACTTTAAAAATAATCTAGTAAATGCACTGCTTAATTCCAAAAGAAATAAATCCATTAATCACTTTCTGTGAGTAACTAAAACCCGCGTGAGTCTGCACATGTTTAGATAAATTCAAATTCACACACATTCTGTTTAAAACTGAGTACAAACACGAGTACATACATACTTGAATTATGCTGCAGATTCACATTACATTCAATAAATTACTTTCATACCGAACGAAAGGAAAAAAGAAAAACACACGCAAAAAAACGATTAATCTTTTATGTATTGTGATTGTTCTCTGTAAATGCTATTTTGCTTTGTCACAAATATTCAGTTTATATACCTTATGCTTGTATCGTGGTGCATTGAGAGAAGTAAAGAATTTGGAATCGATATAATACAATAGCGGAAGATAACAGACGTCACGTAAATAAATGAAAACATGCGCGGACATTAAGTGTGACTTTCTCCCGTCTAAGTAACAAACAGCCCAAATTCATTTTAACACTATAAAGTCAGATCTGCATTTAAATAACATGATGAACAGAATTTATTTAACAGAATTTCTACGGTAAAAATGTGTCTTTAATAAATGCTGAAACTGAAAGCAGATTAATTGATAACAAGTTCAGGTAGCAAATAAAGGTATCTGAACAATACGATGGTAAAGGAAGCTCTTTTGCTTAACCGCTTTAAAATTGTCTCAATTTATGCTCAGTTGTAGTTCTGGCTTCCTCAATTTTATAAGCCGCCTTTTAAACATGTTTTCTTTCGTCTGATGCGCCATTTTTAAAGTTTTGGATCGGTCCCAATATGAAACCTAACCAGAATCAGACACGTTGGTGAAACCTTGTTTAAATTTGCAAATATTCTTTTCCTAAATAATTATGGCGCATTATCCAATAAAATTGTCATTTCAACATTGTTTTAGACTATTTAAATTATTAAATTATTGATAATGTGAGTAAAATTGCATATCATACTGCGAAACATCATTTTAAACGGCTTAGGAGTTGGGCGATACTTCGCAAGACGTAATTCGCGGCAACCGGTTAGAGTACTAACATGCTTTATAATAAGAACATCTTTGTTGAAATGACATTATTTCAATACTCGATATTTCATTTGTATTTACTTTTTAGTTCGACTTTTTTGTTTTCATGTCGGCGTTGCAGTTGGCTTTGCTGTCCGCAAACTTGTAACTTTTAAAGTTCTTGTTGTATTGTCTTAATACTTGGCCATAACAACCCTTGGGGCAAGTCCTTTTAATAGATTAGACTAACCTTGACCTTTTTCCTTTTATCCAGAAATGACCTTGACATTCAAGGTCAAATGTCTAAATCTTGATTGTCAATTGCTATAAGTGACTATAACTTTGATAGTATTGAATGGATTGTCTCCAGATTTGAGCATAATAATCTTTTAGGGTAGACCTCTAAGCTCTAAGTAAACCAGACAGATCTTGACTTCATCCATAAATAACCTTGACCTTCAATTTCAATTGTCTAAATTTTGCTTGTTTTTTTTTTTTTTTGCTATCTGTGGCTATAACTTTGTTATTTATTAACTTATATATGACCTTTACCTCGAAGGTCAAATTATTTTATTTTCACTGATTATGGCTATAATTGGCTGTATTTTTATAATTAATCAATGGATTTTTTTCATACTTTTTGAGAAGACATTCTTAAAGTTTAAACTGACCTTGACCTTAACCATTACTGTCATGGTCAAAGTATTGAATTTGGGCTAAGTTGTCATAATTTTGTTATTTATGTAGGGATTCGATTCATATGTAGACAACACAACACTTGTGGCAAAATAGAGATGTGGAATATTTAGATATGGCATTGTCTTTTAAATGACCTTGACCGTCAAAGCATAGAATTTTAATTATGTTTTCTTGACTTTGTCCTTAATTTATGGAAATGATTCATAATTGAACAAAAAGACAAGTCTGGCTAGACTAAAAAAGGAATAAAAATGTTTTCCTTTAACTTTTTTAAAAGATTTATTAAACTGTTTATTTGTTTTGCATTTAGTAAAAGTATAAGCGTCGAGCGTTGACCACCACCTCTCCCTCGACTGTAACTATTGTTAATTTTACAATACTGGAATTAAAATAGAAGAATACAAGAAAGCAAATAGCCTTTTTATAATTAAAAAAATTGTAAAACAAAAGCACATGACATTGATTTCGTAACTGTCCCCGTATATTTAAATGAACCCGAGGGCAACCTCGTACTCACGTAGTCACGTGATCAAACATTTTAGCGAAAATGCTTATGTTTTGTATGTGCACGAGTAAAAATGATACATGTATTTGACATTTA